AAAAGATCCTTTCAAAGAAAACGGCATATTTTTCGAGCCGTTGCAGATTATGGAAAACTGTTGAAATTGTTTCTTGCAAATGATCAGTAGACCACCCCATCACAATAAATTTGTACCGCAAATCGTTTTTCGAAATGTTCGGTAACAATTAAAATTTCAACTTTAGGTATTGGTTTGCATTTTCACCCTGTATAACAACATTTGTAACAAATGTTCATTTTTATTAATAAATCCTCTTATTCTCAATAAAATTTGCCATCAATCTCTGAAAATCGCGAATCGATACGATTTTTTTTTGTCAAGATATTCGATCCCAAAATTTAGTTCAAAAAATAGAATATCCACTTCATTTGTCCAGCACTATATTTGAAAAACAAAAAATCAAAATGACCAAAAAAGTCGTAAATACCATTTTCGACTATATTTCACTTTTTCTATCAAACATTGGAGTCACAGTTTCAAAATGAACAAAAAAAATAAGTCGTAGACTATATTACACTTTTCTGTCAAACTGTTCAGTCACGGTTTGAAAAAAAAAACATAATAATCAAAAAAGTCGTGGATAACATTTTCGAATATATTTCACTTTTTCTATCAAATATTGGAGTCGCGGTTTGAAAAAAGGAAACATAAAAACTGAAGAAGTCGTATGAAACATTTTTGACTATATTTCACTTGTTCTATCAAACATAGGAGTCACAGTCTGACAAAAAAAAAAACAAAAACAAAAAAAGACAAAAAAGTCGTAGATAAAATTTTCGTCTATATTTCCCTTTTTCTATCAAAAATTGGAGTTACAGTTTCAAAATAAAAAAAAAAATTTTTGGTCGTAGATAACGTTTTTGACTATACAGTAAGGGGCAGGCTACTAGGTATATAGGATCCAACTTGACGAATTTACGATCGTCCGCAGCCGTCTGAACACCTGTCGCTGTCGGTGCGCTGTCGTTTTTTCGATGACTTTGACGTTCATAAACATGGTTCACATCAGTACGTTTTATGATTTTACAGACTTAAGCCCGGTCCAGACGTTACGTTACTGATACCTGATCACGTGTTGAACTGTGCAGACAAAACTTGATGCAAAACGTAGCATCTAGACCGTGCTTTTAGATGTATCGTCGAGCTTCACTTAGGTACTTATAATTATTAAACGGCGTGTATAGATAGATTTTTTTTGGAACCGAAACAATAATCTATGGAAAAAAAACATGTATTTTAAAAAAGCCATCCAGGAAAAACTAAAAATATATTCAACATAAAAAATAGAAAAAAAATTAGGTAAAATAAAAACAAAAATTCTAGTTTTGACCCCAAAAACCTGGCTCGATTACCATTTGCACTACAATGTAGCAAATGTTCAAACAGTCCCAGTCCACCTTCTTGAACTAAACAATGACCTAAACGATCATAGAAGGCTCTACGAATATTATTTAGCATCACAGGGGTGACAGTTAGATATATTTCTCGAATTTTGAAACGCAGCTGCTCAAGGTTCACGGCGCGATTCTCCTGAAAACCATACATTTTTGAGTTGCAATAACCCCAGAGAAAATAATCGTTGGGTGCAAGATCGGGAGAGCGTCACAGTATTGTAGCTCTCGACCCAGCAATGAGACGGTTCGGAAAAGTATTATTCAAATGGTCCAGAATGAAACCCGTTTTATGGGCTGGACATCCATCTTATTGATACCATATTTCATTAAATCTATAGGACCAGATAATCTTTCAATTTCTGGAATTATCTGCCGTTGGCCCGTTGCAAATGATCCAAATATTTTGGACCAGTTAAGTTAGCGTCCATGAAGTACGTCCCAATAATATGTTATCCACAAAAACCGCTCCAGACAGTTACCTTTTGACGACGCTGGGATCTAAGCTTAAAATACCTGTGTAAATTCTCCTTAGACCAATAACGGGTGTGACTAGGATTATGTCGACCATGGAGTTAAAATGTCGACTCATCTGTAAAGACAATTTTTCTAAGAAAATCTTGATTTTAATTTGCCTTATTAATGACAGTTTCACAAAAATCCATTCGCCTCAGGATCAATTTTTTGGGAGCTTCTTACTTTGTACGAACGATACTTTTTTTTTTTCTGTGGCTCCTAACCGTCCTTGTACTTGAGTCAATATCCTGCGCAAGCGCACGAGTCGAAATAGTTGAAGTTTTGTTAACTAATGCCAACAACCAACAACATAATTTATTTGGCTTCTTGATCCTCATTATTTTCCTGGACGTCATTTCGTTTGGTTTCAGGGAGAAACACAACCGTATTTTTGAAAATTATTAACAACCCTAGAAACTTTTTACTTGGTTGTCGCCAGGTTAGCGCTAAATCGATTTGTCATTTTCTGACATGCGGACGCCTGCAAATTCGTCAGGTTACATCCTATATACCTAGTAGCTTGCCCCTCACTGTATTTAACTTTTCTGTCGACCGGTGGAGTACCTAACTATTATTGAAAAAAAAAACAAAATAACCAAAAAAGTCGAAGATAATATTTTCGACCATATTTCACTTTTTCTATCAAACATTAGAGTCACACTTCGAAAAAAAAAAATAAAAATTGAAAAAGTCGTAGATAACATTTTCGACTAGGTATATTTAACTTTTTCTATCAAAAATTGGAGTCACAGTTTCAAAATAAACAATCTATCGGTCTAGTAGTTACGCGGGAAATCGTAACAAACAAACAAACTCAGATTCGCATTTAAAATTAGGATTGTTATAGAAAAATAAGTTACCTATGCAACTGAAATATAAGGCCACTTTTGTTTTTGCAGGTCTAATAATTGCTTGCAAAAATGTGCCCAAGTCTAATCATATAAGTGTTGCATAAATTACTATTTAAATCAGCCCTAGCAATTTAAAATTTATTTTATCAACCTAAATTAAGCTAGTTACCATTATCAGTAGCCAAAAGTGCCAAAATCCTGTCTGCTCGACGTGACATAATCACTCAGAAAAATTTAACACACAAATTAATAATAAACGCATAAACTGATAACGCTTTCAAAATATTCCGCCGTACGCTGCACCCCTTGCTGAAATAAGAAAATGTGCTTTTAATTCCACGAAATCACTTGAAACGGCTTTTCACATCTGAATTACAACGTTGCAAGATTTTGGAGGCCGAATTGACGGTGGCATCTACAATATATAAAAGCCTTTTGTCTGGAGGCAGGATAGTCGATGGAAAATACAACTTATATACGTCGCGGAAGTATATGCCGCCAGCGCCAATTCGTCGCATGCGGCAAATCGCCAAACTACTGATATACGAAATAGGCATGTTTGGCATCAATCATGACTCCAGCCCACATTTGTCTCGTAGAAGGGGGAAGCGATATAGAGACGATTTACACGTTTTACAATCCTGCCTCCATATACAGAGGCAGGATTACGCCGGAGGCAAGATTAAATGCAAATGTTCCATTAGCGGAGGCGGGATTGATAGCAGGATAAATATATATATATATATATATATATATATATATATATATATATATATATATATATATATATATATATATATATATATATATATATATATATATATATATATATATAGTTATTAATTTCTTGGGGTATCAGCCTATTTCTTTTTTTTTTTTTTTTTTTTCCCTAAGTGAGGGATGGCATCCCTCACTTAGGGAAAAAAACATAAAACGTCTCCATAACATGCTTCTTGATAACGCATTTCCAAATCACTTGTTAAAAAAACTATTGTATAATACTAGGACTCAGCTAGCTGCTGTGACGGGTCGGAGAGATAGAGTCGATACTGAGGTTGGCACTGCAAACGAGCAAGAGGAAACAGTTTACAGATTTTCCATCGCATCAATACCACAAGTAACCAATAAAATAATCAAAGTTTTCAATGACATAACAGCAGTGAAAGTGGTTCAAAGTTATTCCAAGACAGTGGGTAGTTTATATACCAAACTTAAAGACAAGGACCCCCCTCTTAAAAAATCAGGGGTAGTATATAGTATTCCTTGTTCCTCATGTGACAAATCTTACATAGGACAGACATCTAGAGTCCTGAAGGATAGAATTACGAGTCACAAAAGTGATTGTAGACTGGAAAAACGTTCTTGTGCATTGGCTGAACATCACATCGATACAGGGCACATTCCTAACTATAACCAAACCAAGGTGGTGTGTTCTGAAAGTCACACTAAAAAGAGGCTTTTCCTCGAGATGGTGGAAACTTGCCAAAATCTTAATTCTCTAAACAAAAAGAATGATGTCGATGAAACAAGGGCTATTTATTCGCACTTGCTGACGTTGGGTAAGGGTACAGACAATAATGATTCTTTGGCAGAATAGGTTGGTTGTTTTCGACTATGCTACTTGTTGGAGACGTGTTGTACGAGGGAGGATATCGAGTGTTGGTTTGTTTTGATATTTGGTATTATGATGGGTGTTTTCTAGGTTGTTGTGGTCCTTGTGTTACCTCCTTCTGAGTTAGCAAAAGGGTCTAGGTGGACGAACTCTGTACTCAAGTGACAGATGGACGGTTTTCGGACGCATAGACTAACAGATACACCTTGAATATTGCCCCCAGCAGAAGTGGGATCTGCTGGAGGTAGTGTTTAATTCTAGAAATACACTTAAACTGGCCCAGAAGTGAAGACTGAGGACAGAGTTGGGTTCTCTGGAGATTAACAGTCATTTTTTTCATTCATCATTGTTCATATATTACAATTTTTCAGCCAAAAAGTCTTTCACGATGGATCTTGCTCTCATGTGACAGATGTGGTGGGTTTCCGGATGTGGAGACTGGAATCTACACCTTGAGTTTCACCCCCAGCAGAAGTGGGATCTGCTGGAGGTGACACTTAATTATGTTGATTTATGATGTGTTTTATACTTTGGATTATCAATATTGGAACAGTCGCCAAAATGCACTGATCATTCAATTGGGACACCCACTCCATCTTCGAGCAAATTTCAACACTTTATTAACAACAATCGATACGCCATCTATCAATGAAAAGCTATAATAATTTAGCAACAATAGGTACAACAGTAACCTTTCAATGTTATTCCGACAGGTGGCATAGCCGAATATGACATTCCTCATGGTAACAGGAAATAGGTTTTTTGAATTTTTGTCTTAGGTGCTCTCCATTTTGTTTCGCACGTGAAAGGGAAGAAACGTCCCGAAATAAAATAGAATTAAGAATGTAATCTCTCTAATATTTTATAATTCTAATTAATGTTGTGTTTGTTTGAACAACTTAACATATATTTATTGTGACCAATAAGTGGAAGGATGTCTCCAATGTTGGCAAAGGTAGTCAAAAGTCCATTATGTGATTGACTCACTTTGCACACAGGGTAAATATTCCCTTAATTCAGTATTGCCTATTATTATCTAACATTTTATTTTCAAATTGTAGCCTTGAGAAAGAAAATAAACATTTTCGAAAGCTTGGCGTAGCAGAAAAGAGTTTTTTATTGAACTAGTCCCGAAGAAATAGGCTGATACCCAAGAAATTAATAACTTTGTTTCGTTAACTAGTCAGCCAAGACTACCCTCTAACTATATATATATATATATATATATATATATATATATATAGTACAAAAAATCAAACCAAATATTTTCTTATATATATATATATATATATATATATATATATATATATATATTTACAGAGTATCTTGACCGGAGAATTTATAAACAATCGGAGTTTCTTGGGGTATCGGTCGTCTTGAAGGGCTAGGAAATAAAAATCTCTTTTTCCACTAAGCCGAGCTTTCGCTAACTGGTCTAGTGATGACACCAAAAATCAATGTCTATGAGAAACTAGTATTTATACACTTCAAAATTTTATTCTACATATTCTTCTATCTCTTCTATTTTTCTTATATCTATCAATTATTGTTTATTAATTATTTTTCCATATTTTTAACATTTATATTCTGTACAGTTTGATAGTCAAAATAGAATAACAACAATTTTCCGACAATTTGAAAGCTTTTCGACTATAAAATTCTCACTTTGCAAGTAAGTTATAGTTAAAAATTTATATGTCCTAGTCATAGTTTTGATTATTCATAATAATAAGATCTTTTATATTGTTGTAGCCCTGACGAAGGCAATAAATAATTGCCGAAAGCTCGGCTTAGTGGAAAAAGAGATTTTTATTTCCTAGCCCTTCAAGACGACCGATACCCCAAGAAACTCCCATTGTTTATATATATATATATATATAAGAAGAATGGACGTTGTTGCTGACAAGTACGAAGACAATTTTGGGAATCGATTTGGGGAATGCAGCAAAAATAAAGTGTACTCTTTAAAGTTTATCCGAGCTTTCGATAATGTTTATTATCATCTTCAGGGAAACTATGGATCAATATACAAGTTAAAGACAATACTATAATGTAACTTACATCTTTGGTGAGATTATTGGTGTAATTGATCTGTTCCATCAGCATCGAGGACAGTGAGAACTTAATTATTAGTCATTAATACATAATAAGCTTGTTAAAAATTATTGAGAAAGGATGAAAGATTGTGTAAATGGGACAATACAACATATTAAAATATTAAATAGTTACAGAGAGAGACTTTTACAATATATCACCCTGGGTTTGAGGATCATCCATCAAATGTGTAATTTGGAATTATTATATTAAAAAATAATTTTCTTTTAAATTTAAATGTCAAGCAGAAACAGCTGGCCGTCAAGATCACCTGTTGAATTAATGACTTAAGACATATGTCATTGTAAAGTTAGGTTAGGTATACAACGCTATGTTCCATTGAATGAACTGATACACATTCGATGTGACGTCACTAGCAGACCCACTCAACACTGCAAGACGCCAGGAGCAACAGAATAGGATTAATTGAATCATTTGACATAATACTAAAAACCAATAAGCAAATAAATCATAGTAACACATTAAAGAGAATTTTCATTTAAATTGAGGTTAGGCCCTTTGTCTAGGTGTAACAGATAGGAATAAATCTCACTGAGGTGGTTAATATCAGATTTTTTGTTCATACAATTATCACTCTGAGAAATGAAAGCCATCTCTTTGAAGAGTCTCTTTGAGTAGTGGGATTCACTGGTTAAAACTCTCACAGAGTCATAGTCCATTTGGTGCTGGAGTGAATGTACATGATCAGCCAAAGCGCATCTTTCAGGGTGGAGTCTGCTATCGCTTTTATGGGAAACAATCCTGTCTTTCAGTTGCCTAGTTGTCTGGCCAATGTAAGTTTTGTCGCAAGAAGAACATGGAATGCAATACACCACGTCTGATTTTGCGAGAATCGGAACTTTGTCCTTTAGGTTAGAGTGAATGGACTTTATGGGTAAAACTGACCTATTGGCAATTTTAATGTTTGTGAAAGCTTTACTGAAAAAACTAGTCAGCTTGGGTGTAATGTCTCTAATATATGGTAGTGATGTGTACAAAACAAAAGGAACAGTGGCCTCAGCAGGGGCCAACCCCAGAGGTGAATCAGCTGCAGTTGCAGGGTTGTTCATTTGGGGATTGACTAGGTTGTTATGGCTAGTGTGTGATTGTAACACTTCTGTGGACCTTGATGTGCTGAACAGAATCTTTTTTAAGAGTGGAGTAGGGTAAGAGTTGTCCTTGAAAATCTGGAACAGAATGTTGAAATTCTTGTTGTGAAAAGTTGTGTCTGAGATTCTTTGAACTCTATTCTTCATTTGTTTGACCAAATTAATTTTCATTGATTGTTTATGGTAAGACAGATAGTTAATGAATCTTCCTGAGCTACAAGGTTTACGGTACCAATCAATTGAGACGGAGTTGTTTGAGTTCCTGATGAATTTCGTATCCAGGAACGGGACAGAATTACCCTCATCCTCATTCTCCATTGTGAATTGTATATGTTGATCAAAACTGTTCATGGCGACCATTATCTCTGTGACCTTATCTCTAGGAAGTGCTAGGATTATGTCATCAACATATTTTTTAATGAAATGTAAGTTAAAAGAGAGAGTGGGAATGACAGTGTCCAGCAGGTCGTCCATGACATAATTCGCTAAAATTGGAGAAATTGAAGCACCCATAGGAGTACCAAAAGTTTGTTTATAGAATCTGCCATCAAATGCAAAATATGTACTGTTGAAAAGGAAAGTGATCAACTCCAGGAAAGACTCCTTGCTGATGCCAGTGTGTAGTTCGATTCTGTGCCAATTTTTGTTAATCGATCTGAGGCAAGCTTGTAGATAGACATTGCTAAAAAGAGACACCACATCCAAACTGGCCAGAACATAATCATCCGGCAAGACGGTGTTGTTAAACAATCGTGAGACTTCGAAGGAATCAGAGACATAATATTGATTGTTTATATCATAGGCTTTTGTCAGTATATCAGTGACCAAAGAAGCCACATACTGTGTAGGTGCACCAATTGAGGCCACAATTGGTCTGACAGATAGTGTTGGTTTGTGAATTTTAGGTAACGCGTAGAACTTTGGAGCAACACCCTTATAGTTAGTAAGCTTTTTCTTGGTCGCTTCATCAATTTGGTTGGTGGTTTTTAACTTTTTAACAATATCATTGCACTTTCTCTGAATGGACAACGTAGGGTCTCTTGCAATTTCCTCATAAGAATTACTATCTTGAATTAGTTCATTAGAAAGTTGGAGGTAATGGTCTTTGTACATAATAACCGATACGTTACCTTTATCAGAGTTAGTCAGCACAATGTTAGGATTGTCTTTAAGGAACCTTTTAGACTTTTTGTATAAATTGTAGAGAACCGAATTACTGTGAGAGCTTTTGTGAACATGATTGGTGATAATGTTAGTGGCTTGTGCTGTTAAGATGTTCCTGTCTGAAGGACTGTTAGATTGTGAAATAATATGATCAACATCAGCCAAAATATTTTTGATAGGGACATCTCTGCCAACCTGTGGCTCAAGACAGAATTTAGGCCCCAGAGAGAGAAACCTTAAAATGTCCTCAGGAATACTTACATCAGTGAGATTTCGTATCCAGTTAGGTTTAGTATCAAGTTTATTATAAAGAGAATCATTTTTTAATTTTTGTAATTTGTTACAATTTTTTGCTTTTAGGTTATGAAAAAGTCTGTTGTAAGCCCTTTGCTGTCTGGCAGCGAAGTTGCTATAAATAGCTTCATTGGTTAAATTGATTATCTTGACTCTGAGAGTTGAGAGGGCCAATTCTAATTGACCTATAAGTTTGTGATTATTAGAAATCTCCAAATTTATCAACCTATTACCCAACCTACGTGTGTAGTCTGTGTTCGTGTGGATGTCCTGACGTTGTAAGAGGTGTTCCACTGGTCTGGTGGAAGCTATGATGTGACCAGGCCTCAACCCCAGCTTTCTGCACTGCAAAAGGAAACTTCTCCTGTTGCACTCTCTGGCCAACTTTCTCTTTGTACATGACCAAGTCTTAAGTTGTTCAACTGCCTCCCCGCCAAAGGAAGTCCTGATGGTCTGGTAGAACCCCATATCTTATGATAAGAAGAATGGACGTTGTTGCTGACAAGTACGAAGACAATTTTGGGAATCGATTTGGGGAATGCAGCAAAAATAAAGTGTACTCTTTAAAGTTTATCCGAGCTTTCGATAATGTTTATTATCATCTTCAGGGAAACTATGGATCAATATACAAGTTAAAGACAATAAGACAATACTATAATGTAACTTACATCTTTGGTGAGATTATTAAAGATAAATGTTGTGTAATTGATCTGTTCCATCAGCATCGAGGACAGTGAGAACTTAATTATTAGTCATTAATACATAATAAGCTTGTTAAAAATTATTGAGAAAGGATGAAAGATTGTGTAAATGGGACAATACAACATATTAAAATATTAAATAGTTACAGAGAGAGACTTTTACAATATATCACCCTGGGTTTGAGGATCATCCATCAAATGTGTAATTTGGAATTATTATATTAAAAAATAATTTTCTTTTAAATTTAAATGTCAACCAGAAACAGCTGGCCGTCAAGATCACCTGTTGAATTAATGACTTGTAAAGTTAGGTTAGG